CCGATCACACCACTGTGGGCTGTCCTCCACCCCTCTATCTCCCACCAAGAGGCTCTCCAAGCTTGACCCCATCAACCACCTGCTGACCACCTCCACCTAGAGACCCCACAGGTACCTCGACCCAACATGCCCTCCCCTCCCCACCCCAGCTCCTCCTCCTCCCCACTCCCCACACACATCTCCTCCACCCAAAGACCCCAGACAACTCCTCTTCCTCCTCCTTGCTCACCTCTGCCATGCTCAGTCCCCATCGGTCCCACATTCCCTGCCGTCCCCTCTGTGCCCACTGCCTCTGCCCGGCACAGTTCCCATTGAGTCCCACCCAGCTCACTGCTCCTGGCCTCCAGCCACACACCCCCTCCAGCTGAGGCCCTTCAGTGGCCTGCAGGATGGAGCCCAAGCTCCTGAGCCTGGCCTTCAAGGCCCTTTCCAGCTGCACCCCTGCACTCACCGCCACCGCCCCCTCCCCTGCTCCCTGCTTTGTTCTTTGTCTCACACTCTCTACCTCCCTGCCTTTGCCAGTGTCTCCTCTGCCCAAGAGCCTCTCCCCCACCCCCAAGTAACACCTACTCACCCTTCAAGAGTCAGCTCAAGTTATCACCACCTCCAGGAAGCCTTCCCGGACCCCCACACTGAGAAAGAGCCTCCTCTAAGTTCCCCTCCGCCACAGATGTCATTACAGTCTCCTTGGTGTAGATGGGAGACCATTGAAGGCAGGGAAGGTCTGGGCTTATCTGTGTCCATGGCCCCAGTATGGCACAGACCTGGCACACAGTGGCACTGAGTCTCTGTGACCTTGGGAGCACTACCTCCAGCCTCAGTTTCCCCACCTGTACGATGAGGATATAAGGTCCCTTCTGATCAACATAGTTGATAGTGGCCACAGGTCTATTTGGAAATCTGCAGTTGGATGAGGTGCCTCAGATTCCACCACAGGCGCCTCTTATTTGGAAGGTGGGAAGGTTAAGCATCGCCTTCTTCAGGCTTTTGTAAAAGATAATCACCACCCCTCCTCCTCAGTGGGAACTGGGCCTCTCACTTTCTGTAAAATGGGAGTAATCACATAAGCATACCTCCTGTGCCCAGTGCCCAGGACTATTATAAGACTAAAAAAAAAAAAAGCACTCAAAAGATGTTGCAGGGAAGGGTGTTACCGCAGCAGGCACCCCAGGTGATGGGGCCCAGGCTGGCCCTCCTCACACCCCTCACTCCGCAGCAGCCCCTCGAGGTGGGGCGATTTCCTATCCCACAGATGAGGACACTGAGGCTCAGGGAACAGCTGCCACCCTACCACAGCCAAAGAACAGGTGTTGGTGTGGCAAAAGCCACCAGCACTCAGCAGCAGTGGGTCAATTCAAGCCCAGGGCCACCTGACATTTCTCACCTTGACAAGCTCTGAGAGCTGAGGTGGTGGCACTCAAGGTCAGGCACAGTGGCTCTGGAGTCAGTGTCCCTAGAAGCTGTGTCAGCCCAGGGAGAAAACAGGGAAAAGGCTGGCATCCTGCCTCTCCCCCAACAGGCTGGGAACTGAGCGGAAGAAGGGAGCAAACACGGGAGGGGACAGTACCACACAGGAATCTGGGGCATGGTGTCCTGCATGTTCTCAAGGCTGGGTTGTGACGCAGAGCATGGCCCTGGGGGGAGCCCTGCTCCAGGCTGTGGGGAGAGGTCAGGGCTGCCCGCCCACAGGCTATGGCCTCCCAACCCAGCTGCACTGCCCAAGGTCCCCCCTCAGCCGTGCGGGTGGGGAAAGCTGAGGAGGGAGGGCAGGCCTCCCTATTCCCACAGACATGGAGTACTGGCTGGGTAGAGATGGAGGGCAGTAAGCCAGGGCCAAGGTCCCTCTTGATCTCCTGGGGAGCTCACTCTCAGAGCAGCCAGGCTGAGTGGGATGGGGGCCTGTGGAGGGTCAGCAGGGATAGTCTTCAAATGGCAGAGACAAGAAGAGCCCATCACCCTCCTCTGGCAGGGATGTCCGGCTGAGGCAGGGACGCCCACCTCACCAGAAGCCATGCTCTCCCTCCGTCTCTTTATTCCTCATTCTGGGCCTCAGCTTTCTTCGTCTGTCTAGTGGGGATGTAAATAACAGAGCTCTGCTCACCCCAGGACTGCTGAGTTGGAGAACAGTGGGGTCTTAGAAAGATCAGTCCCTGAACGAGAAGAGGGGGTGATCAGACCCATGGAGTGGGCCAAGAGGCTGGCAGCCCCTTCCCCTGGGACTCCCTCCATCCCTCCATGTGCATGCACACACACCCCAGTTATGGATGGCATCATATTAATTTGCCACATGCTTCTTTTATTTCACAGTAGACTGTGGCCATCTCTGTGTCAGTACAATTCAATCTAGGTCACTCTTTGTAATTACTCCCTGTAGTCCAGAGACTGAGCATGCCCTAGTGTAAGATTACAAACTGCACTGCATTGAGCATCCTTGAACACGTTTTCTCGGATGTGTGTGTGCATGTTTCTCTAGGAGATAACCCTAGAAGCCAAGAAATCCATTCGGATGCTGCTGTAATTGTCCAGAGCAGAAAGAAGAGCTTGAACCAGGCTGGGGAAAGAAAGGAGAGGATAAATTTCCTTTGCCAGAATATCATGGGCTTCCTCTGGCCAGTCTTCTGGGCTTCCCAAACCACTCTCAGTCATGAGCTGCCATAAATTGAAGATTTAGAGCACAGCAGAGAAGGAGGCCAGGGAGCCCAGGGGGCAGCAAGGAAGATGAGAAAGGGGTCTCACCTGCTGACTAAAGCAGCCATCAGAAAAGAAATGGGATGCGACAAGAACAGCAGCCTCCAAATCACACCAGCCTTGGTGGGGCCTGTGCAGGGGCTTCACACACTGATTCTGAGCCTCGCAGCAACCCCAGGCATCTCCCAAATGAGGACCTGGAAGGAAAGTAAAGGGGCCTATCCAAGCTCACACAGCATGTGAACCCAGGCTGGGCTTCTGATCTGGGCCTGACCACAAAGCCCTGTGTGGGTGCAGTCTCTGGACTGAGTCTCCCAGTGAACAATGCTGAGGACACCAGATGGGCAGATCTGGAGGAGCCAAGACCTGGAACTCAACTGGGGCAGGTGCTGGGGAGATGGACCCGGCCCTGGCAGGAGTTAGAGGGAGTCCAGCCAGAAGGCTAGACAGTGGCAGGTGACAAGTGGTGTCTGACAAGCCCCCACTGTCTGTGGACCCCTCCCCTAGAAGCCAGTGGCCTGCCATGCAGCAGGTGGGAGGCAGTGGCTGGGAAGCCAGGCCACATCCCCAGGCAGCATGGGGCCCAGGCGGCAGCTGGGGGCAGAGTTCTGCTTCCTGGGGGCTTGGGAGCCTGGCTGGGCCCATGAGCCCCATCCCCCTGTGCAAGGCCTCCCACAGCTTCAGGAAGTCCCCAAGCCACCAGGGCTCAGCAAACTCCTGAGCAAGCTCCCTTCCCTGCTCCCACGTCCTCCCCTAAGCCAGCTCTCACCTCCTCCTCCTCTATCCAGACCTTTCTGCCTTCACCTTTTGGATCTCCCTTTTGTATTTTGTGCTGTTTAGACTTAAGAAACCCCCTTTATGAAACTTTTTATAAAATAACAGTGGGGAATTTCTGATTATAAAACAAATGCATGCACAGTCGTCCCTCAGTATCCGTGGGTGATTGATTCCAGGACCCCCAGGGACACCAAAATCTGTGGATGCTCAAGTCTCTGATATGAAATGGCCTAGTATTTGCATATAACCTAGCACATCCTCCTGCATAATCATCTCTAAATTACTTCCTATTAATGAATGCTATATAAGTAGTTGTTATACTGTATTTTTTAAAATTTGTATTACTTTGCATTTATTTAATTTTTTTTAAGTATTTTTGATACACGGTTGGTCGTATCTAGGGATGCGGAAGCTGCAGATACAGAGGGTTGACTGTAAATATGACCTATTAATTTTCCTATGTACAAGGGTACTTCAAAAGTTTGCAAAAGGGTTCATATTATCTTTTACTTCCATTTTTCCATGAACTTTTTGAATGACCCTTGGGTACTTAGGGCCAGACATGAATTAATTTTCCCAAATTGGGATTGCACTGATAATCCTCTTTGTAGCCTGCTTTTGCCAGTTCTCAACATATTGTGAAGTGTCCGTGTTTGGGGGTGTCATGGCAGGATTGCACAGCACCTGAGAACACAGACTCCTGCCCAGCAGGCCTGGGTTTCACACCCTGGCTCTGCCACTCAATTCTTTTGTAACTGAGCAGGCTACTTGCCTCACTGGGTCTTGGTTTCCTATTTGGTAAAACAGGGAAGCTAACAGTACCTACCCTCACAGGCTTGTTGATGGCACCAAATGAGCAGGGCACATAAACACTCAGGAGGGGCCTGGACATAGTAAATGCTCAATGAACATCAGATGTTAGGGTATTGTTATTCCTAATCTGATGACTGAGTCCAGCTTCCTGCCCACTATCCCCCGTACCCCACATCTTGTAGCTGGATCCCAACCTTGACCCTGTCTCCTTATCTGGGTCTCCTGGGCCTACCTGTGCCCTTTTGTGATTTCTGGGCTAGTTAAGGGGCTGGCACTGGGATCAGCTTCCAATGGCACTCAGCGGGATTTCTGAGAGGTTCTTCCCTGGGTTCTCAGTGACATGAGGAAGGAGAGGAATTAGAAGAAGGGAAGGAAGAGAAAGAAGGCAAAGAAGTGGCTGCGATTTAGACAAACTCTGGAAACCTGGCCCCAGATCTTTCAAGTCTCTGTTGCCCATAGGCTGCCTCACCTGCTGTCTGAGCTCTGGGTTCTCCTGAGTTGGTGTCACGGGAAGTAACGTGGCTCCTGGGAGAGAATACTAGTTCTCTGCGCCACCATGGCCTGGAGGGGTGAGGACCAAATAACCACCCCTCTGGGGGCAGTTGGAGCTCACATTGTTCATTGACCTTGGAGGTGACCCACTGACTTCCAAGAGTGGGTGCAGATGTGGGGTGGGAGATCCCGTGGGGCAGGGGCTCAGCTCTGGGCTCTGGGATCCACAGGAGATGAACAACTACCGGCAGGCCATGCAGAAGATGGCAGAGGACATCCTGTTGCTGCGGAAACAAGCCCGCATCCTGGAAGGGGAGAACCGCCTGCTGAGGAGCCACCTGACCCAGCAGGAGGTAGAAGAGGAACAGGGCAAAGCCAGCAAGGCCGAGAACCTGGGTGAGGGCGTACAGGCCACCAAGGGCATCTGGGTGCCCACCTGGGCCCAGGCTCAGGGCTGCAGGACAGGGTGGCAGGAGCTTTTCCCAGATGTGCATGCTGCTGGACATGGGCTAGTAGGAGCCCCCAATGCCTACAGACTCTAACATGGCCCCTGCTGGGTCCTCTCAGGGATGGGAAATGGAGAATCCAGTCCTGTCCCAAGCCCAGGGCTGAGGGCCACCTGCCCGCCCCCAACTATGCCAGTTTGAGCTGGGAGGGGCCTCTTCCCTGAGCCAGCTCCCCCCACCCACCCCAACAGTGTCCATGAAGCAGAAACTGCTGCTGAGTGAGCTGGATGTGAAGAAACTGAGGGACAGGGTGCAGCATTTGCAGAATGAGCTGATTCGAGTGAGCTGGGGCTTGGGGGGAGGGGAGCTGAGTGGGGAGTGTGGGTAGAAGTGTCTGGAATCAAAAAAAGAGGGCTGGGGGACACGGGATCAACCCAGTGGAGAACTCAGCAGAAGTGTCCGTGTGGACCCTCGGGGCCAAGGATGACTCCCAGGCACCCATTCTTTTTCTCCCTCCCTCCCCAACTCCCAGAAGAATGATCGAGAGAAGGAGTTGCTCCTTCTGTACCAGGCTCAGCAGCCTCAGGCCGCACTGCTGAAGCAGTACCAGGACAAGCTGCAGAAGATGAAGGCACTGGAGGAGACCGTGCGGCACCAGGAGAAGGCAGGTGCCAGAGAGGTCTGCCCGCCAGGGGCCCACCCAGACAGGAAGGCATGGAACCCCCAGGCCAGCCCAGCCTCTGTGCTCTGCCCTCTAGGTGATTGAGAAGATGGAGCAGGTACTGAAGGACAGGCTGCGGGACAGGAGAGAGCCCCCGCCCCCGCCACTGAACAGGCTGCAGGGAAAGCCCAACATGGGTGGGTCTGCACCCCAAAGTGAGTAATCGTTCCCCATCTTTTGCCCCAACCCTGGAGGCCCTGCCTTCCTGGAGCCTCCCAGCTTCAAGAGAACCTGCACAGAGAGGCCCATGCCCTTAATTAAATCTGCAGCTCTAGGAGACGCAGGCTCATGCTGCTTGCCTACCCATTCAGGCACTGAGTGCTTCCAGAGGTTCCCTGAGCTCCCTCCTCCTGCCAGGGAGCCCCGCAGGACAGGCTAGAAAGAGGCTGTACCTCCGGGAGGGAGGCCCTGAAGACTAGAGCAGAGAAGGACTTCCCCAGTAGGGCTGCCTGGGGCAGCAGTTCCCAACTTCCTAACTCTAAAGCCCTTTGAACTATTTCCCCATCTTCCCATATCTTCAAAGACTCTGCCTCTGCAAAGCAAACAAATGAAAAATACTTTGACTAAATCAATGATTCATTTTTCCATTGGCATTAACCAAAGCCACCTGGAACTGCCAATCAGAAGGGGCTCTGATGAACAGGAGAAAACCAGGGACACCATACCAGGCCAGCCCAAAGCAAGGGGTTTCCCTGAGCCTGCCTGTGCAGCCTCACCAGGGCCCCCTGCATGCCTAGCCCTGTGCTCAGCCTCCACGGCCGGAGGTGTTGGGGGAGGCTCTGAAGGCCTTTAGAAAACAATGAAAGCTGGGGGGCCTTTCAGGGACCCTGAGGTCATCCAGGAGACTGGATGAGAAGGCACCCTAGGGAGCGAAACAGCCAGGACAAAGTCCGGGGAGTGAGAGAATGCCAGGAGCAGAGACAGGAGGGAGGAGAGGGGAAGAGCCGACATACTCCGCAGACAAGTGGTGGTGAGGGCAGTGGAGATATAGGGAGAACGTCAAGTCAGATTCTGAAGAGCCGGGAAGGACAGCCTGAGGCCGTAGTAGATGAGGACCTCATCTCGCCGGCAGTAGGGAGCCACTGAAGGCTTGGGAGCAGAGGGGACAAATGGAGCAAACTGCTGAGGCAGTTCAGGGCAGGGACACGGAGGCAGGAAAGCCCATCTCACGAGTGTCTGTGGCCATGTTCACAGCCTTCCCAATGCTCTCAGCCTCTGGCCTTCCCCTGGCTTCTACAGAAGAGAACCTGCCCGTTGACCTTTACTCAGTGCTGCTGGCAGAAAACTCGAGGCTGCGGGCAGAGCTGGATAAGAACCGCCACCAGTCGGCCCCCATCATCCTGCAGCAGCAGGCCCTGCCGGTAAGAGCCGCCAAAACAAGTCTGGTATGTGCCTGCCTGCCCCAGTCACCGGGTGCCCAGCAATCGCCCACGGCACAATCCAAGTCAAAGGTCAAGACCAACAGCTAGGCTTCCCAGGGTCTCCAATCTGCCTAGAATCTCCTGGAATCTGAGCTCTCAGGCCTTGCTCTTTTTTCTCCTGGGGAACGCATGTATCTGAAATCTTCACCTTTACCCTCATCTAGCATCCTGGGAGAAAAAAAGCCCCTAACTGACCCTTGACCCTTGAACCTCACCTTTTTGGCACCTGCTGGCCTCCACCTACACAAGCCTCTCAGAACTTCCTTCTGAAGCATTTCCTGGGATTGGTGCAGCCTTAGAGAGCCCTTTTCCCCCATCCCAGGTGGACCCTGGGGAGTTGGGAGCAGGAGGAGACTTGGCAGTGAGGCTTCAAGAGACAGATGGCCCAGGCCGCTCTAAGTGCACAGAGGCCCTGGCCGCACAGGTTGGTGTCCCAGGGCCCTGGAACGCCCAAGCCCCACTCCACTCCCGAGGCTGCAAGAAGTTCCCCATGCTTTGCACACGCCCAAGGACAGGAGTTTGGAATTATAGAAGAGGGGCTGGGCAGGGGCCCAGGAGAGCTTCTCTCTTCATCCCAGGACTCGCTGGAGGAGAGTTCTGTTTGAAAGCACACACAATGCATGGACATCCACTTAAAGTGTGAGGGACAGGAACCCTTACTTCAGATTCTTCACTTTACAAAAAGACTCCCAGTTTGAGAGTATCTTCTCTGCATTAAAAGAAGCTCTCTGATGCATTTTACATTAAAAAATTGACATGCAAAAACTTGATATACCGGGCCGGCCCGGTGGCGCACTGGATAAGTGCGCCGCTTGGGAGGTGCGGCGGCGCTCCCGCCCGAGGGTTCGGATCCCACATACAGACCGGTTCCCGCTCACTGGCTGAGCGAGGCACGGGAGCAACACCGAGGGTTGCAATCCCGTTGCCGGTCCCCGGTCCGGTACAGGGGCAGCACTGAGGGTTGCGATCCATTGCCGGACACGGAAAAAGACAAAAGACAAAAAAAAAAAAACTTGATATACCCAAAATCTGTGGGAGAAACAGCTGTGAAAAAAAAGCACAATCCAAGGCACTACTCTGAACTTCAGGAAGAGGTTCAGCCCGGGTCCAAGGCTCTGCATCAGGGAGCCGAGTTTGGAACTCATCCCTGGCTGGCTTCTCCCTCAGCACCTCACGGCTTCCTGAGCTCACATGGCCACAGCCCCCAGCTGGGGCCATACATGAGTTTCTGCTTTGCTCATAGGATCTCCTCTCCAGTACTTCAGACAAGTTTAACCTCCTGGCCAAGCTGGAACGAGCTCAGAGCCGGATCCTGTCCCTGGAAAGCCAGGTGGGAGAGGTGCAGGGGTCAATCAGGCTGGGCCAGGCCCACTGTTCAGTGTGTGAACAGGGTCAAGGATCAGTTTTTGAGCAGGATCAGGGCTTAGTGTGTGACCAGGATCAGGGCTTAGTATGCAACCAGGGTAGGGACTCAGTGTGTGACCAGGGTCAGGGCTGAGTGTGTGACCAGGGTCAGGACTCAGTGTGTGATCGGAGTCAAGGGTCAGTGTGGATTCAAGGTCAGGGCTCAGTGTGTCGTTGGAACGCAGAGAAGGCACATCTGTGTCTTAGTCAGACTGTCTGACTCTTTGGCCCCCTCACATCCACCCCTGCTACTCCTGAGGTCTGGGACCTTCTTGGGAAGGTGCCAAGCCCACATTGCCCAGAACTTTGCTTTCTGCCCAGGGAGCAGACTCAGGCTCTGGTTGTCCAGGCTCTCAGGGTTGGGCCCTGCTGCCCACTGATCCTCATCTGTCCTTCTCTGTGTCTGTAGTTAGAGGACTCAGCTCGACGCTGGGCACGAGAGAAGCAGGACTTGGCCACACGGATCCAGGAGCAAGAAAATGGCCTTGGGCGCCCCTCAAACTCCATCATCACAGACCAGCCTGTGAGTGACCCTTGTGGAGGGGCTCCTGTGGGTTCAGGTGATAGGGCTGGAAGTCAGCCCACCCCCCAAATCACTGGGCCCTGAGAAAAACCATTGGGGGGCCAGCTCCTTGGCTGGGAGTCAGAAGTCCTGGCCTCCAGTTCCTGCTGTTTCCAAATGAAGCCCTTGCTTGGTCTCAATTTCCCCACCTGTCTGAGAGGAATATAAAACCCCTGCCAAGACAACCCCTTCCCCCATGGTTGTGGTGAAACTCAAGGAGCAGGTGGCTGTGGATGAGGGGTGGTCCACAGAGGCAGTTCTGCGATGTCTGGCACTGACTGTACTCTAAGACTGGCTTTGCTCATGGCCCAGGTGGCTTGTGGCCCCCACCCAACTCCACAGAACCCGAGATTCTTGCATTAGCACACTCTCCTTGGGCAGATGTGACTTCCTAAGAAAAAACAAACCTGCTCCCAGCTGCCCCCATGCTCAGCTCCAGTACCACCTACTGTCTAAAGCAAAGACCTTGATTTCTCCTGCCAGTACTTTGCTCATGGCCAGAGGTTCAGCACCTCCTGGGAAAGGCCTGAAAAGGATGAGGGGACTGACAGGGAACAGAGGGCCACCTTTGCAAACCCACCTGAGCCCTGTGGCCCTGCTATGGTGAGACAGGTTTTGGATCCTCTGAGGCATGGCTTGTCACACAAGATGCCCTTGAATAGGTCACCCTCGGTGTGTGGGCGTACTCACCTCACCTTGCTTTGCAAATACAGAATGCATCGACCCACTTCAAGGACCTCAGGAGGCCCTCAGAGATGGACCCCCTGCTGCCCACCTCAGACACTGAGCTCAACAAGCCCATCAACCCCCAAAAGGAGACCTCTAACTCTCAGCAGACCTGAGCACCGGAGCAGACTCCTGAGCTCCTTCCCCATGGGCTGGGGAGACTCATCCCCACCCACTATAAATGACTTTATTAAATGTTGTGGTTCAATGAGCATTCACCTCTCTCCAGAGTGGGGCAGCTGGGGGCCCAGCTTCCTCTCTCCAGCCCCCACTCTGGGCCTGGGCCCTGTGCAGCAGCCTTACAGCCCCTGCCTGTCCCAGGAGTTAGCATCTTTGGAAAGCCAAAGGCCAGAGTGGAGCCAGGAGGGTGGAGAGAAGAGGCTTCCAAAGCAGGGCCCAGGGAGACAAGCCCCTTCCAGACCTCCAGAAGAAGTGAAGCCATCAGAGGCCAGCTCTGCTGGGAGATATGAGGGAGGCTAGGACTCCCCACTTGCTCCCAAACAACTGCCATATCTGAAATCCCCTCTTTCAAGTTTGCTTTGTCTGTTTCTTGGGAAGGGAAAGACTTGAAACCTTCCTGTAGCAATCAAGTACACATCGGTATAAAATATCCCATTAACCAGGATTGGGCTAAGCTGGCAATGTAGCCAGGGACAGGAAAGCAGATGGGACCAGGGGAAGGAGCCTCCCACTGAGAATCAGAAGGTCTGGGTTCTAGCTGCAAGCATGCTGTGTGATCTCAGTTGACTCAAGCAACTTCTCTGGACTTAGTTTCCCCAACTATCCCATGTAGAGCTTGACCCCTTTGGCAGTAAGGCCCTTTCCAGCTCTAGCATTTCAGAGTCAGGCTCAGAGAAAAGAAAAGAAACAGGAAGGAGAGAAAAAGGCAAAAGAGAAGAGGGCTGTGTGGTGGCAAAAAGCAGAAAGGTTACAAGAGCGAACCCAGAACCCACAGATCCTACGGGAAGAAGCTGAGCTGCCTGGGCCACTGTCCCGAGCTGGACTGGCTCCCTGTGTGCCTGCAGGACTTAGACCTGGCTAGCCAAGGGCGAGTCACCTGTCCAGGTTAGGAGTTGTGGAATACACAGGAAGTAGAAGCTGAAATCGAGACCACTGTCATGCAGTCCAAATAGTGTACGAAGACTCTGCGGCAGTCTCCCTGCCTGCTGCCCAGGGCTTGGACAAATGGGAACATCTTCCTGGAGCAGGAAGGCGAGGTCTGGGGCAAGCCCAGGGGAGGGTCGGCAGGGAGAGGAAGCATGTTGGCCCCTCGTCCCCAGGGTCGGTCACCTCACAGCAGCCAGCCCTTCAGCGACATGGTGCCTCACCCACATGCCTCAGCCCTAGCTGTGCCCAAGACCCTGGCTGGGCCTTGGCAGGAAGTCCTCATGACCCCACAGGGGATTCCCACCCAGGGTTCAGCCAAGCGGAGCCCTCTGTAAGCACCACGTTCAACCTGCCAGGCAGGCCCATCCCTCCCAGAGCACGTGTTCACTCAGCAGAACTCCACCAGCTCCTCGTCCTTCTGCCTGATGCTTCAGTAGCTCCCAGCACAGTGGCAATAGCCCTCCCCTGCTCTGCTGGGGGTCACAGCAGAGACGTCTCCAAGTGCAGCTGCCTCGGGTCCCCCGAGCATGCCCCAGATCCCACTGTTGACCCAGGGTTGGAGCATCTCCATGGGAACGATGAACACCTTAGGGGTCCAGCAGAAGTGAGAGCACCACATTGTTCAGCCGTTTATTGTCTTCATGTGGGGAGGAAGGAGGGAAAAGGAGTAGCCCAGGTGAGCGGAGGCACTTGACCACTGACGGCCAAATCCATCCGCTTGGCAGGCTGGGCAGAAAGGAGCAGGCAAGGGGACAGAGGACTGAAGACGCAGAGACCCCAGGGGCCCCGCCCCACCGGCCTTCCTCCCACCTGGCTGCTGGCCTGAATGGCAGGGGCGGGGGCAGTGCCATCCCCTACAATCACGCCTGGGGTGGGTGCCTGCTCAAGGGCCAGAAGGTGAAGACAATGGGCCTGTCAGGCATCAGGATGAGGTTGAACGTGGTGCCCACATCGCTGAGATGTTGGATTTCAATTCTGAAGTTCTCCAGCATCTGAGAGAAGCACGTGGCGGGCTTAGGGAATGGAGGGGAGGGTCTGTCTCCCCTGGGCTGGGCTCAGAGTGTGATTAGAGGAGCCCCGAGGAGTTTGCCACGAGCTCTTCATTTAACCCTGCACAGTGCCTGAAAATGCACCTTTACTGCTCTGTTCCCTTGATTCAGGCCTTGACACTAACTAGTCCACAAAGCCCCAGCCCCAACCCACCCCCATCCCATCACCACCATGGGGGACGGACGGCCATGGGACTCCGGGGGGGGGATGAGTGCATTTGCTCAAAGAGGAGGCAGCAGGGAATTGCGGGAGGGGGTGAGGGCAAGTAATTGAAGGCAGACGTGCCCCAGTCCTGTACTCCCACACTCTGGATAGAGATGGGGGGAGGAGAGTTGGTGCCTTCATTAGGGTCAAGGCCAGTCCAGGGTGCCCAGTTGTCCCCAAGTTTGACTCACGTGGATGAGGAAGAGGGTCATCTCGAGCTCGGCTATCCGCCGGCCCACACACTGCCGTACACCCCAGCCAAAGCCCAGGTTCCGGAAGTGGGTGGTGTTCTTGTCTTTTTCCAGCCATCGGGTCGGGTCAAAAGTCTCCGGCTTGGAGAAAAAGGTGGGTTCTCGGCCCAGGGCGTAGTTGGCCACCTGTACCAGTGTCTGGGGGCAAGGTGACCAGAGGCCTGAGTCAGCCCCTCCCTCCCTGCAGCCCTGAGCATGACACCCAGCTTCTCCAGTCCCCTGCTCTCCCACCCCACCCCTGCTCCCCAGTGTGGCTGCCCAACTATCCAGGAGAGGACATGCTGCCCATTGTGTGACCTTGGACAAGGCCCTGCCCACCAAATAAGGACAGCTGAAGACACAAGGCTGGGATGACCCAAGGGATTGTTCTGACCTTTCCTCACTTCCAGGGCCTTCAGTGAGGTCTACCTTCTAACCCTGGGCTCCAGCAACAATCCACAGGTCATTACCCACTGTGCCCGGCACCTCTGCCCTTTGTTCAAACTTGGACTGCTGCTGCTGAAGGCTCCAGCACCAGAAAAAAAGGCAAGACAGAAGCCCCCATTGCATGCCCCAGATCCCTCTGTCTGCCATTGCAGTCTGCCCCCAGCCTTCTCTGTCTGACTGGCAGGGTACCTGCAGACCCCTGGCTGTACCTACCTTGGCAGGAATCATGTAATTTTGAAGAACTATGTCATTTGCAAGATATCTCTGCAGAGTCACGGAGATGGGGTGCAGTCTGCGGGAGGAGAGCATCAGAAGCTGGCCCCAAAGCCTGGACACAGGCCATGCCCCTACTCCCACACCCAGCATGGCATCTCAGCCCCAGCTAGAGGTTCCCAGGGGAATCTAGAGGCAGTGCCCAGGTTCTATTTCCTCCTCCCCATTCCCAGCTGTCTCCTCCACACTTCTCATTTCCTGTTTCCAATCTTCTCCATCAGCCCATCTTTGTAACCCTCTCCCCAGGCACAGCCCTGGCCCTGCCCGGGGGTTGGGGGTGGGGGCAGGAGGTGGGCTTGCCTCAGCGTCTCCTTGATGCTGGCTTTGAGGAGCGGGACCAACTGCAGCATCATGGCTGTGTCTCCCTGGGCCTGGCGCCGGGCGGCAAGGACCTCTGCCCGCAGCATCTCCTGAACCCTCAGGCTGCGTGCCATCTCATATAAGTGCCACTGCAGGGTCATGGATGTCTGGCAGGGAGAGTGAGGATACAGATGACCAGGAGGTCCTGTCACTCTGGGGCACCTCGAGGTCCATGAGCCATGCTGAGTTTTTATTTCCAAGAACCTCTCCTCCCCCACCCTCATCCAAGTCTCCAAGACCACCACCTGCAAAAACAAAACAATTTGAAAGGCAAATGTCTGAGAAGCCTTACTCGCCACTCAAGCAGGAATGTTTGGGGCAGCACTTCTCCCTGTCCTTTGTCTCTCGTATCACCAGAATCTATCTGCCTGTCTCCCCAGCCAGTGGAGCATCAGCTACACAGTCAGTGCCTTCTTCCAAAGAACTCCATAGGCTTTCAGAGGCCAAATCCTACTTCTGTAATGGCTGTACTCCCGAATGACTGCCATTCCTTTTGAACTGCCTTGTTAAGCATCTTCTGCCCAATAGAAGTTCCCAAAACCTTAGCATCTGCCCACAGCAACATAGCTTAAAGTAAGAATCAAAGATACTGCAACCAGAACAACCAGATCTGTTTTCCATCAGCATTGCCATGAGCATGTGGTGTATACTGAGATTTAACCAGCTAATCTCAACATAGCCATAGGTTGTGACCATTAACCCATCGAGGGAGGTGGGAGTGACCCCCATCAAGCTCCATAGTCCCAGATTCCTCAATGGTGACAAAGTAAGCCCATTTCGGACCCTAGCCTGGAGCAACTCTCCCTCCTGGGGCTAGGACATGGTTTGTTGGCACATTATATCATCAAGGAATTTTTTCCCAAGAGGCCTGGACACCCTCTACCCTCCTCCTGGCCGTGGCAACAAGGAAAAAATGTCATCCAGTCCCTTCTCAGCTAAAATTGTTGCCTGGCTCCCTGAAGCCTCCAGATGAAGTGCAGAGGCTCTGGCCTGACCCATGAGGCCCTCAACTCCTGCCTGCTGCTCCTCCAGTCACCCCCATCTCTCTCCCACATGCACCTGATGCTCTGGCTACACGGAGCTACACACAATTGCTGAAGCCAGAGATCTTCCCACACTAGTTCCTCTTCCTGGAATTCCCTTCCCCTCCCAGGAGCAAGTGTGTATATTCTTGTTCAAGACTCCAACCAAATGTGTGCATTTGTCTGAGAACCTCCAAGGCCACCTCAGAGCAGGTACTGGAGAGACACTTGTCTAACGAGATGATTAATGAAGTTATGAGCTGTGTGACCTTGAATAAGTTATTTAACTTCTCTGTGCCCCAGTTTCCTCATCTAAAAAGGGGGTAATAGTAACACACCTCATCGTGTTGTTTGTGAGTAGTAAATGAACTAACACATGTAAAAAGTTCAGGACCTTGCCTGCCGTATTGTACCTGCTTAATTAATGTTACCTCATCATAATAGCTTCTTTGGTGCAGGTGAGCAATTTTGGGAGATCACTTCCATGTAGCTGACAATGAACTATGTTTAAAATATGCTCAAAGGGGCCGGCCTGGTGGCGCACTGGAGAGTGCACCGCTTGGGAGTGCGGCGGTGCTCCCGCCGAGGGTTCGGATCCCATGTGGAGACCGGTTCCCGCTCACTGGCTGAGCGCGGTGCGGGCGCAACACCGAGGGTTGCGATCCCGTTGCCAGTCAGTAAAAAAAGACAAAAAGGAAAAAAAAAATGCTCAAAGGCTCCATCTGCAGCCTGACACAGGGACTGAAACTTCTGCATTAGAGTATAATACAGATATAAGACCTAGGAAAGAAAGGCATTAACCCAAGGGGCTTTGACACATACTTTTCCCTAGTCCTGAAATGCTAGTCCTTCTCTCTTCTCCTGGCAATGGCCTTCAAGACACAAGTTGAATTTTAGCTCCTCTGCAAGAGCATCTTCCCTGTCCTGCATGGCCACTTGGTCACCCTTCTCCTCTCAGCTTTGTCAGTAGCAGGTGCATGCCTCTGTCATTGCAGCCCTATAACACGAGGTGGTAATCATCAGCCACATCACTGCCTCCCCATCAGGGGCCAAATTGTGTCCCTCAAAATTCACATGTTGAAGTCCTAACCCCCAGCCCCTCAGAATGTGACTATATTTAAAGATATGAGCATTAAAGATATTATTAAGGACAAATAAGGTCATGGGGTAGGCCCTAATCCAATTATGACTAATGTCCTTATAAGAAGAGGAGATTAGGACGTAGACACACACAGATGTGAAGACACAGGGAGAAGACAGCCACATAGGGTTGGTCCTCCATATCCGTGGGTGCCGCATCTGTGGATTCAATCAGCCTCAGATGGAAAATGTAGGTAGACCTACGATGGTTGCGTCAGTACTGAACATGCACAGACTTTTTTTCTTCTTGCAATTATTCCCTAAACAACATAGTTTAATAACTATTTACATAGCATTTACAGTGTATTAAGTATGAGTATTATAAGTAATCTAGAGATGATTTCAAGTACATAGGAGGATGTGTGTAGGTGATATGCAAAGATTACACCATTTAATATAAGGAACTTGAGCATCTGTGGTTTTGGGTATCTGTGGGAAGGTCCTGAAACCAATCCCCCACAGTTACCAAGGGACCACTGTATAAGGCAGGAGAGAGATCTTAGAATGAACCAACCCTCCCGACACCTTGATCTTGGACTTTCAGCCTCCAGAACAATGAGAAAATAAACTTTTGTTGTTTAAGCCACCAAGTCCTCAGTACTTTGTTAAGGCAGCTCTAGCAAACTAACTTGCTCTTCCCCTCTGAGCCATTTGAGAACATTTGAGATCTACCATATTCTCCTTTCTAGTCCCAGTGCCTGGGTCATAACTAATAATAAACACTAAATAATTAAGCCTCACTATCACATTAGCATGGGAAAATTTAAGAAACTTGAAAAAGGGATGGCACCCAGGACAGATTTTAACATTCAAGAAGAGAAGTTTCTGGGATCTGTGCTGCCTGTGGCAAGACCTTGAGGGAGATACCACAGGAGGCACTTCTAGGTGTTGGGGTCACCATGGGGTACTGAGGTCCGGAAGGGGAAGAGGAGAGTCACAAAACGACCCTGCAGGGCACAGCCTGGGGCAAGCTCCACTGGCCTCCCAATTCTTCTGAGGTCCTGCCTGCTTCCTCGGATCTGAGTGAGCCATGTCCTCCACTCGGAGCTAGGGACCCATGACTGGGGGGACACAGTCCTCCATCAGCCAGGCTTCCACAAAGCAAGCCTCCAGAGGAATCTCTCTCCTACAAATCTCCATAGAACCTGGACCTCATCACCTATGGCCGGTCACTCCCTTCTCACAGGCAGAGAAAAGACAGTTGATCACCCTCCAATCATGCCCCATGGGTGACCTGGCTCTCACCCCTCCCTTCTAGGAGATTAGTGTTTAGGAAATGGAGCGAGGAGAGGGAGATGTATCCCACATGGATAGGACCCCTTGGAAGAGCAGGGTTTTACACAACGAGGCAGCCTGGTGGCGAAGGGGCCACCTTACCGTGTCCACACCTCCTGCCAACATCTCAGTAATGTTGGCCTTGATGTCCTCGAAGGGCAGCTTGTTACTTCCCAGGAGGCTGTAAAGGATGCCAGGGTAGTTGTTGCTGAAGTGTCTTTTCTGTCTCAAGTCCCAGTAGAAGTTCTGGGTGTATTTGTCAGCTGCGGGCAGAAGAAAGAAGAAAGAAAGAGGCTTCTAGGCAGTGGGAAGGAAGGAGACAATCTTTGGTGAGAGGTGGTACCAGGGGCTTGACAATTCTGGAGCCTTGTGCTTTTCAGGCTGCTGTTTCAGTAAGCACTTACTCTAAGCTTTCATATCTGTTTTTCTTTTTAATTTAATTCTTGACCATAACTCTGTGGGGTATGTGATATCACCCCCATTTTACAGATAAGAAAACAGAGACTCAGAGAGCAGTCCCTTGCTAAGGTCACGTGGGTATAAGGGGCAGAGGTGGGATCTGACTCTGTCATCCCCAGTCAGCCTTCTCCAATCTCTCCCACCCAAGCCCTAATCTCCTGTCACCCAGTACAGCTGTGGCTCAGACACTCACCCTTAACCCTCTAGGGATCATGAGTTCCTTTGAAAAACATCATGGACATTTTTGCTCCTCTTTCTCCAGAAAAATCTAATCCTCCCCAACAGCCCGCCTTCTGTCCACCATTCCCAGGGGTTCCAGGTCCTTCCTGACACTCATCCCTGCCCACCAGAGGTGGATATCCTACCTGGCAAACCAGAGCCCATTGACATAGCTTGGCACAAGACGCAGGCGGAGGCCTGGGGCTTCCAGCTGGCTCCCTCTCGCCCAGCCTGGGCTCCCCTCCCCCTGAGGAAGACAGGGCTCCCCCAGCCCCATGCCTGGCTGCCCGGGGTACAGCCAGAGGAGCCCTCACCTTTACTGAAAATTATGTCCCATGCGGCTGCATGGTCCCTCCAGGTCTTGGTCCTGAACAGACGAAACAGGTCTGGGGGGAGGCTGAGCATTGGGACGCTGGTGTGGAACATCTGGTATACAGCATCAATGAACTTCTGGGCCTCTGGATCCACTATCTCCTCCAGCATCCCCAGACGCTCCCCAAATATGACATTGGTGATGGCTGCAGGCGGAGGCGAAGGCTGAGGAGCCCCTTTCTGCCCGGCCATCTGAGCCTCTGCTCCCAGGAGCTCCTCCTCCCGCCCGCCCCCACCCACAACATGCAGGGTCCTTTGCATCTGCCTCAGCTTCCTTCAGGAAAGAAACTGAGGCCTGAGTCCCAAAGGACTAAGAATGCAGGGCTGAAGAAAGCTGCCCTTCTGGCAAGCATGCAGGTCCTTCAGAGGGCTTATGGAAGCCCCTGGAAAGGAATCCCTTGATGGGAAGCTGGGTCTCCAGCAGAGCCAGGAGAGGGCCCAGGCTGGGATGAAACTGCTCCACACATTCTTCCACCAGGAGAGATTTCCCATTTGTCACTGACTGAGTTGGCTAAATACTTCCTGAAACAGGTCAGATGGCAGACAGGAGAGGGCCCAGGCTGGGATGAAACTGCTCCACACATTCTTCCACCAGGAGAGATTTCCCATCTGTCACTGACTGAGTTGGCTAAATACTTCCTGAAACAGGTCAGTCAGATGGCAGACAGGGGACATAAATCCCTGGGTAATCGGCCATCCAAGACCCAGTCTGGCTGGACCTAAGAAGTCACAACAAACTTGAGTTTTTCCCACCTGTCAGGTGAGAAAGATGAATGCTGATTTCATACCAAGCTCCAGGCACCCAGATCTCCTGCAGTGACCACACAGTCTCCATCAAGCCACAGGGCCTTTGCACATGCTGTTCCCGCTGCCTATACTGCCTGACTCCTCACACCACCCAGCTAACTCCTACATACCCTTCAATGCCTAACTCAGACTAACTACCCAGCTCTCCTCCTACCAGACATTGAAGGTCTATGTCACAGGAGAAGAAGACTTTCAGAATGAAGGGCCAAGCCAAGATCTGGCTTTTGGAGGATGGTGACATTGAGGACCTATGCTTTGGGGACCCTTGCCCCCACCGCATGAGTGCCAAAGTGAGGGAGAACGTGCGGCCCCCTCTGGGTAGCTGGTGGTGGAGCGTGCATTCAGTAGCTTACCCCCAAAGCCAGTCTCACCACTTCTGCAGGGTCTGTGCCATGTCACAAGGTGAGAAGGTGAATACTGAGTTCTCCCACCCCCCAGGCCCACTGCCAGCCAGCTGCAAGCCCCTTACACTCAAATGCAAAGCGGAACAGGTCTTCACTGATGTCCCCTGAGAACTTTCCAGAGCCCTGCTGCTCAATGCGCCTGTGTATGACGCTGACGAAGTCCTGAGACACTGCGTCCAGCAGGGGTATGAAGTTCTTGATGGTCTCTGGAGCCATCACCTCCTGGTTCAGGACCACCCGGTCTTTCTTCCAGGCTCCCGACTTCCTGAGAAAACATGGGCGCTCATGGTCCACGGTCACAGACCCCAGGCCTGGCAAACAGTGGGGGCTGAGTCGGCTGTCCCTCAGAGCAGCCAGCACTCCCGTCAGGGACCCTCCCTCACCTCTCCCAGCACTCTCTGCCTTTCACCCCTCCCTGCTCTGCTTGGCCTGGCAAGGAGAAAGGAAGAAAAAGGGTGAAGGAGAGCAAAATTCTCTCTGCCACCGCCGCTGCCATGAGCCAGGAACACGTCCCTGTAACCCTGCGAGCACCTTCCAAGCGCTCCAGGAAGCCTCGCCCTGGGCCGCGAGCGTGGCCTCCCCTTCCTCCTGGCCAGCACCCGCCTTTGCCATCCAAAGGTCCCTCTGCATCACCTTTCCTGATTCTCACACAGACAAAATAGCCCCACCTCTCCTCCTCAGCACCCCAGGGTGCCCCACTATTCACTTCGGTGGGGGGATCTCAGGTGCCCAGAAATGGTTTAGAAGACTTTCAGAATGAAGGGCCAAGCCAAGATCTGGCTTTTGGAGGATGGTGACATTGAGGGAGAACGTGCGGCCCCCTCTGGGTAGCTGGTGGTGGAGCGTGTGTTCAGTAGCTTACCCCCAAAGCCAGTCTCACCACTTCTGCAGGGTCTGTGCCATGTCACAAGGTGAGAAGGTGAATACTGGGTTCTCCCACCCCCCAGGCCCACTGCCAGCCAGCTGCAAGCCCCTTACACTCAAATGCAAAGCGGAACAGGTCCTCACTGATGTCCCCTGAGAACTTTCCAGAGCCCTGCTGCTCAATGCGCCTGTGTATGACGCTGACGAAGTCCTGAGACACTGCGTCCAGCAGAGGTATGAAGTTCTTGACGGTCTCTGGAGCCATCACCTCCTGGTTCAGGACCACCCGGTCTTTCTTCCAGGCTCCCGACTTCCTGAGAAAACATGGGCGCTCATGGTCCATGGTCACAGACCCCAGGCCTGGCAAACAGTGGGGGCTGAGTAGGCTGTCCCTCAGAGCAGCCAGTACTCCCGTCAGGGACCCTCCCTCACCTCTCCCAGCACTCTCTGCCTTTCACCCCTCCCTGCTCTGCCTGGCCTGGCAAGGAGAAAGGAAGAAAAAGGGTGAAGGAGAGCAAAATTCTCTCTGCCACCGCCGCTGCCATGAGCCAGGAACACGTCCCTGTAACCCTGCGAGACAAAATAGCCCCACCTCTCCTCCTCAGCACCCCAGGGTGCCCCACTATTCACTTCGGTGGGGGGATCTCAGGTGCCCAGAAATGGTTTAATCACAAACCTCAGCTCATGACACACTCTTCAGAATTGATCCTTGCAAAGCCCTCTTTTTNGAGAGGGCCCAGGCTGGGATGAAACTGCTCCACACATTCTTCCACCAGGAGAGATTTCCCATCTGTCACTGACTGAGTTGGCTAAATACTTCCTGAAACAGGTCAGTCAGATGGCAGACAGGGGACATAAATCCCTGGGTAATCGGCCATCCAAGACCCAGTCTGGCTGGACCTAAGAAGTCACAACAAACTTGAGTTTTTCCCACCTGTCAGGTGAGAAAGATGAATGCTGATTTCATACCAAGCTCCAGGCACCCAGATCTCCTGCAGTGACCACACAGTCTCCATCAAGCCACAGGGCCTTTGCACATGCTGTTCCCGCTGCCTATACTGCCTGACTCCTCACACCACCCAGCTAACTCCTACATACCCTTCAATGCCTAACTCAGACTAACTACCCAGCTCTCCTCCTACCAGACATTGAAGGTCTATGTCACAGGAGAAGAAGACTTTCAGAATGAAGGGCCAAGCCAAGATCTGGCTTTTGGAGGATGGTGACATTGAGGACCTATGCTTTGGGGACCCTTGCCCCCACCGCATGAGTGCCAAAGTGAGGGAGAACGTGCGGCCCCCTCTGGGTAGCTGGTGGTGGAGCGTGCATTCAGTAGCTTACCCCCAAAGCCAGTCTCACCACTTCTGCAGGGTCTGTGCCATGTCACAAGGTGAGAAGGTGAATACTGAGTTCTCCCACCCCCCAGGCCCACTGCCAGCCAGCTGCAAGCCCCTTACACTCAAATGCAAAGCGGAACAGGTCTTCACTGATGTCCCCTGAGAACTTTCCAGAGCCCTGCTGCTCAATGCGCCTGTGTATGACGCTGACGAAGTCCTGAGACACTGCGTCCAGCAGGGGTATGAAGTTCTTGATGGTCTCTGGAGCCATCACCTCCTGGTTCAGGACCACCCGGTCTTTCTTCCAGGCTCCCGACTTCCTGAGAAAACATGGGCGCTCATGGTCCACGGTCACAGACCCCAGGCCTGGCAAACAGTGGGGGCTGAGTCGGCTGTCCCTCAGAGCAGCCAGCACTCCCGTCAGGGACCCTCCCTCACCTCTCCCAGCACTCTCTGCCTTTCACCCCTCCCTGCTCTGCTTGGCCTGGCAAGGAGAAAGGAAGAAAAAGGGTGAAGGAGAGCAAAATTCTCTCTGCCACCGCCGCTGCCATGAGCCAGGAACACGTCCCTGTAACCCTGCGAGCACCTTCCAAGCGCTCCAGGAAGCCTCGCCCTGGGCCGCGAGCGTGGCCTCCCCTTCCTCCTGGCCAGCACCCGCCTTTGCCATCCAAAGGTCCCTCTGCATCACCTTTCCTGATTCTCACACAGACAAAATAGCCCCACCTCTCCTCCTCAGCACCCCAGGGTGCCCCACTATTCACTTCGGTGGGGGGATCTCAGGTGCCCAGAAATGGTTTAAATCACAAACCTCAGCTCATGACACACTCTTCAGAATTGATCCTTGCAAAGCCCTCTTTTTAGTTTGGGGTTTTTGTTGTTTGTTTGTAAGAGTGTCATTACACACTCATCACCTGCCATGAAAACTAGCCACTGGACCGTAGCGTGCCTCTGCCCACTGACCCTCCCGCGTCCTCTTCCCCATCTACAGGGACGCCCCACCTGACTGCCTTGCTCTCTTCTGTGTATAGTTTTATCTCATCTGCATTGATTTCTAAAAGGTACTTTTAAAAAATATATACTTGTTTTCAACTTCTTAGAAAAGGTGTCATGCTTTGGGGGATTTGCTTTTTTCACTCAATTCCATATTTCTAGGTATCATCTGTGTTGTCGTGGGACACCGAGTCCACTCGTTTTGACCAGCGTGGACCGCCATTCCCTCATTCCCACTCCTGCTGGGCATTTCAGTGGTTTCTTGGTTTTTGCTGTTACGACAGCACTATTGCAAACATTCTAGTACGTGTCCCCTGAGAGGGGATATTCTCTGGAGTATGTCCCTGCAATCAGAACTGCTGTGTCGGGGCNCCCCTAACCCCTCTGAGTCCCTGTTTCCTCTTCGATAAAAGGGAGATAAATATAGTACCTGTCTCACAGTGTTGCTGAAGGACAAAATGACATGAAGTGTATAGATGTGACTTTTGTTAAGCAACTTATAAGCGACAGCTTTATGATCACCATGGCTGCTGTCCCACAGCTCATTCCCAGAACCAGTCCCACCCCGACCCCAGAGCCTTCCATGGACCATCAAAGTCCTCCGTCCGTGCTCGCTCCTCCTATGTCCGCACCCTCAGTACCCTCAGCCTCTCACCAGCCCACAGAGCTCAGACCAGGGCACACACCCATGTCACCACTGCAGTGATTCACCGTAGCTTACTTGGCAGGCCATATACCAGGCCAGCCAATTCCTTCTAGGCTCTAGGATTGAAATTCTGGGAGTGGCTACCCTGGCCCCAAGAATCAGTGCCCAAGAAAGCACTTCTTATCAGGCCNACACCGAGGGTTGCGATCCCGTTGCCGGTCCCGGTCCGGTACGGGCGCGACACTGAGGGTTGCGATCCGTTGCCGGTCACGGAAAAAAGACAAAAAGGGGAAAAAAAAAAAAAAAAGAACTGCTGTGTCACAGGTATATGAATATTCAACTTCAGGGGATAATGTCCAACCATTTTCCAAAGTAGTGGCCCCAATTTACATTCCCATCAGCAACAGATGAGAGTCCCAGTTGCTCCCTAGCCTCACCAACACTTGATATGGTCACATTTTAAATTTTTGATGAGCAATTTGGTAGAAGACAGTATCCACTACACTTACACATGCTGATTTGTCCCCATTTCCCACTGCCCCTTTAGACTGTGTGGGACTCACGGTGGCAGGCCCCTGCCCTGCTTGTCACTTTGTCCCCAGCACCTGGCACACTGTGTGTGCTCAGTAAGGTGGGACTTAATGAGTGAACTGATAAATGAGAACTCTGCAAGGTCTCTAATTACTCGTTAAGATCTCCAGCCTGACCATGTCCCTGAAGATCGGCAGACAGTTCATCATCACCGTCATCACCATCATTTGTTCTATGGAGGCAGGAAGATGACAGGGATTTATTTGCCTGGAGGCACTGCTGGGAAGGGTGGGGCGAGCCTGGCCCCACGCCCTCCCCCTAGCCACTGCCCTCCACAGCTCCACATAATCTCCTGCCAGTGCACAGGGGATGGCCCAGGACTCACTTGAACAGGACTCCGATGGGTCTCTTGTAATGCTGGTGATAGGCAACCCAAGGGGGGACGAGATATCGTTCCGGGCTGGGACCCTCAGACTTAAAGAGAAGGGCCA